TGATTGAGATACATTATTATTATTATTGTCACGTATCCTCCATCTTAAAGTATCATCAGGAGCAGCAGTATCTCCACTACAAACAAGTAGAGTTTGTACATTTATACAAAAATCAGTAGTGCTTACACCCAGTCAACTGTGTTGCACCTGGATTTATAACAAGTATATACAAAGGTACTGCAACAATAAAAACTAACCATTAACTAATATTATGAGAGAACACAGAAGAAAGAAGGATAGAAAAAAAAGTTTCATCTTTACGATAGGGCGCGAGCGACTATTAAAGCTGATTAGTAGTGGTGGGCGATATATCGATATTTTATCGATACAAACGATATTTTACGGTATCGATTCGTATCGGTATCGAAATTTTGAAGGAATCCGGATCGATACGTTCGCCACGCCCATTTATTATGGTTAAATAATATTAATAATGAAAATTTTAATAAGTTAATGACGTATAATACACACACGTGGATACACGTGCATGAAAACATCGATGAAAACAGTCAATAATAAGGGGTGTGACTCCATAGGTGTGGCCTAAATATCGTATCAAAACTGTATCGATACTCCCGATATGAGCTGATATCGATCGGTATCGTATCGAATCCATTTTGGCCAGTATCGCCCACCACTACTGATTAGGCGTGGCTAAAGTAACCACTCGAGTCTTGAGTCTTGACATAGGGATAATAGAGTAAATGAAAGGGATTGGAAACTTGCTCGAGCCATTATAAATGAAAATAGCACTTCTATATTTCCTCCTCCTTTGTCTCATATTATTAGTTAGTGGTAAGTTGCAGTACATTTGTATCAATTTATAAGTTTAAATCCAGGTGCAACACAGTTGACTGGGTGTAGCACTACTGATTTTTGTATAAATGTACAAACTCTACTTGTTTGTAGTGGAGATACTGCTGCTTCTGATGATACTTTAAGATGGAGGATACGTGACAATAATAATAATAATGTATCTCAATCAGCTACATATGATGAAGGGCAGACAGCTGTTGGTGAAGCTTCAAGAATAAATTTTGCTAATAATTCTTTTAGTGCTATCCTTACTTCTAGTGCTGGTCCTATGAGGTCTAATATAACATTTAATTCTTTGGAGGCTATTAATAATTACACCGTTCAGTGTACTGTTGATACAACACTCAGTTGTCGTATAATGGTACCAAGTATGTTGAATAGATTTGTCTTATTTAAGGTAAGCATGCCTATTTTTGTAGGTGTTCCTGCTCATTCTGAAATTAATGGATTTGTTGTCACTCCTACTTATGTTAACTTCTCCTGGCCAATATCAACCCATCCTTGTTTTGAGGAGTATCGATTATTAACTACAAGTCCAAATAATCCTAATACTGTGGAGCGAATTTTCAATCGTTCGATTACTAGTATTCTTCTGCCTATATCTCAACTTAATGATACAGAATATTCATATGGTATATATACTACTGATACTGGTCATAGGTTTATAGAACCTCAG